CTCAGTAAATCCACAATTAGAGAAAGAGAAGGGAGGAAACTAGAAGACACAATGGTGCTCAGTCACTAAGAGCCCTAGGTGGATGGATGGGCTCAGGGAGGCAAGGAAGTCTTTCGAGAAAGGACCCTGCACAAGAAGCCGGTCCAGCCATGCTCTTCAAGACACAGGTTGCCCTTTTACCATTCAGATAGAAATGGTTTCTCGATGTCTAGAGCCTCAGTTTCTTTGGGGTTCCTATCATGCTCCTATCAGCTTCCTCCTGACCTTTACGGTAGAGAGATCATGCTCAGATTCTTAGACTTCCAGGGGGGAAAACTGGGAAGCAGGTAGGGAAGCAATGGGAGGTGGGGCAGAATCAGAGACTCAAGAAGTGTCAGCCTCCATCTTGCACCCTGGACTACTTGGGGTGGGGGAGGTATATTTATCTAAATGTCACCAGTGAAGAATAATAAATAATAGGTAGGTCCCAATACCCAAGGCACCCAAGAGCTGACAGAGCTTCAAGGAAAACCTCACTATAGACATCTAGGGGCTACCTACCAGTTGGACAAGTATCGACTATGTATTGTGTACTTGATATGCTGTGGCCTTGGTGCTCTGAGGGGGCACTGTTGGGAACAGTGGGACTGGAGGGCATTGTCTGTGCCTTTAGTACTTACAGTTGACAAGACTAATTATATGAAACCATAAACCATGCCATATAGATTGGGTAAAACTGTGGGAAACAGATACAAAATTCTATAAGAAATTTGGCTATGGAAGATAAGCAAACTTTATTTAAAAGGCATAGGATTTAAGCTTGGCCCCCAGTAGAATTTAGAGAAGGAAATGTCTCCCTAGGAAAAGGGGACAGAGAAATTACACCTCATGAAAGTATTGAGTATGTCCCAATTGGCAGAAATAAGAATGGAATCCTTTTTTGGTTTTTCGAGACAGGGTTTCTCTGTATTGTTTTGGAGGCTGTCCTGGAACTCACTCTGTAGACCAGACTGGCCTCGAACTCACAGAGATCTGCCTGCCTCTGCCTCCCGAGTGCTGGGATTAAGGCGTGTGCCACCAATGCCCGGTTTGTTTTTGTTTGTTTGTTTGTTTTGTTTTTTGTTTTGAGACAGGTTTTCTCTGTGTAGCTTTGAAACCTTTCCAGGAACTCACTCTGTAGACCAGACTGGCCTGAAACTCACCGAGATCTACCTGCCTCTGCCGTCCAAGTGCTAGAATTAAAAACTTGACTTGAGATCCAATCTTAGAGAGTTATCTGGCTGGCCTAAAGGTATAGTGAAGAATGGAGTACCCTCTGTACTGACCTTCTAGCCCCTAGCCTATTTAGAGAACTGACCCAGGGACAGGTCATTCCTGGGCTGGTATGGCCACCCTCCTGTATTCTCCACCCAAGCCTGTACATCAGGAAAGGAATGGTGCTATGGAATGCTTTTTCCCATCTGAGCCTAGTTCTTCTAGGACAAGTACTCCCCCATGCCTACGAACCCAAAACTGCATCCAGAGATTTGGGGGGAGCTTTTCTAGAGTAGATAGTAGCTCTCCCTGGGAAGTATGTTGTTACTTTGTCACCCTGTGAGAAGTCTGGGGGAGACACTGAGCTTGGTAACTGTGTATAATTTCTTTTCCCTGCCACATTCTGGTTTCCTCCCTGGATTTGACTTTTGAGTCTTCTGCTTTGTCCCAGTCTCCCCTCAGATTAGACTGCTGGCCACCCTCCCCAATACATATCTCACGCCCCTTTTCTACACCTCTGTCCCATCCAGAATTCCATCCGTCACAACCTGTCCTTGCACAGCAAGTTCATCAAGGTTCACAATGAGGCCACTGGCAAGAGCTCTTGGTGGATGCTGAATCCTGAGGGTGGCAAGGGTGGCAAGGCACCCCGCCGCAGGGCTGCCTCCATGGATAGCAGCAGCAAGCTGCTCCGGGGTCGCAGCAAAGGCCCCAAGAAGAAACCATCTGTCCTGCCAGCTCCACCTGAAGGTGCCACTCCAAGGAGCCCTCTAGGCCACTTTGCCAAGTGGTCAAGCAGCCCTTGTTCTCGAAATCGGGAAGAAGCTGATCTGTGGACCACCTTCCGTCCACGAAGCAGTTCAAATGCTAGCACTGTCAGCACCCGGCTGTCCCCAATGGGGCCAGAGTCTGAGGTGCTAGCAGAAGAGGAATTGCCAGCCTCGGCCAGCAGCTACTCAGGGGGTGTTCCTCCCACCCTCAGTGAAGATCTAGAGATGCTGGATGGGCTCAATCTTGCGTCTCCCCATTCCCTGCTGTCTAGGAGCAGTCTCTCTGGCTTCTCTTTGCAACATCCTGGGCTTGGTGGCCCATTACATAGCTATGGTGCCTCCCTTTTTGGCCCAATAGACGGGCCCCTGTCAGCAGGAGAAGGGTGCTACTCAAGCTCCCAGTCTCTAGAGGCCTTGCTCACCTCTGATACACCACCACCTCCTGCTGATGTTCTCATGACCCAGGTAGATCCTATTCTGTCTCAGGCTCCCACACTTCTGTTACTAGGAGGAATGCCTTCCTCTAGCAAGCTGGCTACTGGAGTTAGCCTATGTCCTAAGCCGCTAGAGGGTCCAGGTCCCAGCAACCTGGTTCCCAACCTTTCTGTGATGGCACCACCTCCAATCATGGGAGGTGCTCCTCAGATTCCTAAGGTCCTGGGAACCCCTGTGCTCGCGTCTCCTACTGAAGCTACCAGCCATGACAGAATGCCTCAGGATCTAGATCTTGATATGTATATGGAGAACCTGGAGTGCGACATGGATAACATCATCAGTGACCTCATGGATGGTGGTGAGGGACTGGACTTCAACTTTGAGCCAGGTATAGCACCCCCTGATCACTACATCTTCTCTGTATATGAATGCTCTGCTAGTTCTATGATCTGAGCTAGAGAGAACCTTATAGCTGGTAACAGGAGTTACTGGGGAGTCGGAGGGAGCATGTCATATTAGAATAGCATCCCTTCTAAGTGGGATTTCCCAGCAGCTCCTCATCACAGAAGGGGGAGCTTTGTGTGGGGAGGGAGTGCCTCTGCTCGGTATAAGTCTGGATGGTGCCCCAAATGAATCTTTTTATCGTGTTCTCCATTTTTCCCCACAGATCCCTGAGTCACAGCCAGAAGCTTTGTCCCCTGCTTCAGAGGTGGAGCCAGGCCTGCCCTTATCTACTCTTTCTCCTTGAGCCCTCCCCAGAAGTTTGGGACCCTGCTTTAGAGCCTGGGTTGGGTGGTCACATACATGAGTGTTCAGAAAATTATAAAGATAGAGCTATGGCATGTGGGGATTGTGGAAGAGGGTGATGGGAGGAAGGAGGGAAGAGGGATTATTCTCACTGTGCCAATTAGGGGGTAATTATGGCCCTTTCTCAGGAGCCATCATTGATTTCCCCATTTCCACCTCCAAGGCCTTGTAGCAGGGGCCAGCAATGCTATTAGAAATGTGAAGTCACCAGTGGCCTTATTACCCCTGCCTTTGGGAGCAGGATTATTATTTTTTTTGTAGAGTCTTACTAGAGCTGACCAGGCTCGGTCAGGCCTGGGTTTTTATGCAGTGGGTGGGGGGTGGGGGGCCGGGGGACCTAGAAGGGCCAAGTTTTGAGCACTGGACTGGCTCACCAGGCCAAATCACTTTTGGAAAGAAGCAGATAACAGACAGGCTTTTTATAAACTTTTAAAGAAATATAAACACAAATATAGAGATTTTTAACAGTGGTGAGGTGCTAGTAATGGGAGAATGCTCTTTTTCTTTCTGAAGGCTTTGTCATAGTGACGTGATACAAACACTACAGATTCTAGGAGGGAGACAGACACAGGAAGCTTGGGGAGAGGTAGGCAGCAAAAGTGACTGGAGAGAAACCTTCGCTCTTGGACCAGGTCTAGAAAAAGCTCTATGCAGACATAGGTTAGAGTTTAAGAAAAGAATCCAAAGCCAGGCCCCTGCACTGCGTGCTTAGAAGAGCGTGCTGTTGCGGGGCATGCACACTCTTGTTTGAGCAGTGCGGGTTAGTGCTACCAGAGAGCATCCAAGGCCTGGAATTGGCTTGGGGCCTGGGAGGGGCCTGAAAGAAGGAAGGATTTAGAGTAGTAAAGTTAGGTACAGAGACCTCCCTGTTCAAGGCTTGGGACAGCTGTCCCTGCCCTTCTTCCCAGTCATGGACTGCCAGGGTTATGTGGGAGACTTGTGTGGTGGCAGACAGGGCTGTGGAGAGGAACAGGGAAGGGGGGAGCTTGGGGAGTTTGGCTGAGGGTCTGGGAAATGAGCAGGGATGGGGGGAATGTGGATCAGGTTTACTAGCACCTGCCAGAGAGGCCATCTGGGGCTCCTCCACCCCAGCCCCCAAGCAGTCCCTCCCCCAGCGCCCTTTGCATTGTCCCCTCCCCCACCCCTGCTGTGGGTTCCCATCATTTCCTGTGTCAGCGCCTAGCCTACCCAGATTGTATCATGTGCTAGATTGGAGTGGGGAAGTGTGTCAAATCAATAAATGAGTTCAATAAATGTCTATAATCAGATCTGGTTTCTGGTTTCTGCTGCCTTGCTGCCCCCCCTTCAATATAGGGGAGGGAGGGAGACGGAAAGGCGAAGGGCAGTTACTTGAAGGGCGGGTGGGAGGGACTGCCTACAGGCTGGGAGGTGGGGGAATTTCAGCCTGGGAGGTAAGGGAGTGTGGTGGGGGAGGGACACCTAACCCCAGCAGGAGTAGGCGGCTGCAAGATAGGCCTCCCTCGAGGGGAGGTAGTCTGGTTTGAGAAGACCCCACCCCCTTCTCGGGCCCTCAAAGGCTCATTGTACTAAAAGTCTAGTAACCAGACTTCACAGTCTCTCCCCCCCAACCCCAAGTGCTCACTCCAGCCCTCTGTTGTTGCTCGGGTCCACCCTCAGCCTCCCTGGTGCCTGCAACCTACTGAAGCCTTTGTGCAGATACTGGGAGAAGGAGTCTTTCTAGAAAAAAAGAAACCTCACGTTAAATTCCAGTAATTTCATGCTCTCCCCTGGTAGTTGCTGCTCTCACTTGGTCTCTTTATTGAGTTAACGATGTCTCTTGAGAAAGTCTGCTCTAGTCTTATAGAATGGTCTTCGGGTGGGAGGTGGCCCATCTTCATCGGATCGTCCAGATTTGGACTAGAAAAGAAAAATAAATCTATTAATGTAGAGGCTCTGCAGGGAAGGTTTCCACTGTCTAGGGCTAACTGAGGGAGAACATAGACATCAGGGTTAGAAAGGAAATTCTTGGGGGTCAGCAGTGCACGGACCTTCTGTTGGCTGCTTGGGCCAGAGATCTGCTGGGTTCCACTACTCTTGGAGGCTCTTGCTGTGAGATTTAAAGAGGATTCCATGGCTGCCAATCTCTTAGCTTCTAGAGTTCTAAGCATCTTTATTCTGCTCCTCTCCAGGAAGTCACATTGTGTGCGCAGGGACTCTAGAAAACAATAAAAGGCACCATCACTGCTGAAGAACAACAGAGACAAAACTCATCTGATCGTTCAGTTGATCAGTCAGAGTAACATGGCCTAAGACAGAAATGATGAGAGGGTGATTGGGAAACTGAGACGATGATAATGAAGTGGGAAAGGAAGACATATATTGTTCACTTAATTTAAACTAGACACCCCCGAAAGTTTACCTAGACCCTTGTTCCCCTTTTCCTTGACTCCTATGATGCCACCTACCCCACCATGCTAGTCCTACCCCTACCTTACCCTCTCTGAGAAGAGTCCTTCGCATTCAGCCTAGGCTGTCTTTACTTCAAAATCCCCTTGAGTACAGGGGTTACCACCAGTGTATGGCACTATGCCCAGCACACAGCTATACAACTTCCCACGCCCCCCACCACCACATGCCTTACCAACTAGTTCGGGGTCTGGATTCTTCAAGAGGGGCACGACAGCTTTGTAGGAATTCTCAATCCTGGTACCTGTAAACATATATAGTGTTGAGCTATTTCCAGTTCCTGATATATACCAAATCTCTGCCTTTTTGAAGCCCAAGATTTCAGAATCCTAACACTAAATACTTTCTTGAGCTGGTGAACTTTTTCCCTCCCCTTTGGCATAGACCTACATGAACCCTAGGATGAAGTAGGGTCACATGGTATATATGAACCTAACCTAGTGCCACCAAAACAGTGCCTTTCTTTGAGCTGACTAGACATGGTCAATTTGGATCTGGTTTTTGTTTGTTTGGTTTTTGGTTTTTCAAGGCAGGGTTTCTCCGTGGCTTTGGAGACTGTCCTGGAACTAGCTCTTGTAGACCAGGATGGTCTCCAACTCACAGAGATCCACCTGCCTCTGCCTCCTGAGTGCTGGGATTAAAGGCATGAGCCACCACCGGATCAATTTGGATCTGTTAAGTGTGTTTTGGGGGGTTCTTGAGATAGGATCTCATATAGCCCAAGTTTTCTTTGAACCCCTAATGTTCCTGGCTCTACCTTGTGGGTGTTTCCTGAGGCAGTGTCTTGCTATGTAGCCCAAGATGGCCTCCAACTCTCAATCCTCCTTACCTCAGTTTCTAAGAATGTATTTCTGTTGGGTGGTGGTGGTGGCACACACCTTTAACCCAGCACTCGGGAGGCAGAGACAGGTAGATCTCTGTGAATCTTAAGCCTAGTCTGGTCTACAGAGTGAGTTTCAGAACAGACGGAGCTGTTACACAGAGAAATCCCGTCTTGGAAAAAAAGAACATATTTATTTATTTTGAGACAGGGTCTTATGCAACCCAGGCAGTCCTCAAAGTTGCTATACAGTTAAAGATGACCTTAAACTTCTGACCCTCCTGTCTCCACCTCCCAATTGCTAGGATTATAGGCAAGCCCCACCACACTCAATTTTATGCAGTGCTGGGGATGGAACCCAGAACTTCATGAATGCTAGGTGAGCACCCTGCCAACTGGGCTACACCCTAGCCCTGCTTTGTGTTCGGTGGTGGTGGTGATCTTGCTATGAAGCCCAGGCTGTCTTTGAATTTACATTCCTCCTGCCTCAGTTCCCTGAATGCTGGGATTACAAGAGAGAGCTGCCTTATTTTAAGGACAAGTTTCAGAATCCATCTTGAGGAACTCTATGGAGAGTACCCCCAAGCCTCTACCTGGTGCTCCACGTTCCACTTTACAAACGTAGTAGGTATTTCGAGCTGTAAGGAATTTGGTGGCATAGTCTCCGGGTGTCTTTGACAGGAAAAGTAACTTCATGGTCCCAGTTTCATCACACAAATCAATGGTGCCTAGGATAATTGGGACAAGTCAGAACAGAGAACAAAACTGGGCATGGTAGCTCACGCCTTTAATCACAGCACTGCAGAGGCAGAGGCAGGTGGGTCTCTGTGAGTTCCAGGCCAGTCTGGTCTACAGAGTGAGTTCGAGAACAACCAAAGATACATAGAGAAACCCAGTCTTGAAAAGCAAAAACAACAACAGAATAGAGAACATGAGTAAACAGGGCCAGTGGTCTTCTACAGAATGGGTTTGAAAAAGGTTCAGGGATATGAGGATAACTCTTCTTGCTGGGAGAAAAGTTTAGAGGCTGGAGGCAGCCCATTGCTTCTGACCTTCAGTCACCCATATTCCTCCCCAAACCACTTACTTGTTTTACGCAACCCCATTTTCTTTCGGATGTAATGTAGCAACAGGAGAACAGAGCAATTGGTATTGACCAGAAACTCTTGATTATCTGAGAAGAGATGGGATGGAGGTATGCAGGCCCTTCTCTGCTTCCATCTCCTCTGTGATCTCTGCTATCCTCAACCCTCCCCAAGTCCCTGCCCAGACTTGCTCTGTGCTGCCCCTCACCTCCATGTTTGATGTAGATAAACATGCTATCAAGATCATCTCACTCTTCAAAGATCCCCAGGTGACTCATGCAGAAAGCAGGTGTTCTAGTGCCCCTGGGGGCCTGAGGGTGCCCATAGGTTTAGATGACCAAAGGGGCAGATGTATCTCATAAGTTGAAGGAGGCCCAGCCTAGGCAGACAGGAGAGAGCTTTTGGCAGTTGGGAAGGGTCAGCATCTCTATGGGTGGAGCCTGAGGCTGTAGTTGAAGGATTGTGATGTCAGAAAGTGATGCATACAGTAGAAGGCGGAGTAAGCCGAGAGAAGACACTGGGTGGGATCTGTAAAAGAGCTTGTAGGAATTGGAACAACACAGCACATACGACTCTAAACTGGCCCCTGGAGTGAACATAGAAATTTACCAGGGAAAAGTGAGTTACCAGAGCAGTATTTCCTTTAGTTCATTTGCGGTGCTCTTCATTCTGCAGTATGACCCTACTACTCCTTTTTCCTACCCTCAAACCATTCCTCCCAACTCTGTTTCCCCTGCTTCCCAACCCCACAACAGCCATTCCTGATGATCATTGGTAGAAACTTTATTTCTCATTGGTTCAGGAACAATTGAATGGTAGATGGGAAAAGGGAGGGAGGATCCTGTGAAAGAGAAGGGCAGTGGTGGGCATGGTGGTACATGCCGATAACCCAAACCCTCTGGAGGCTGAGGCAGGAGGATTGCCTATGAGTTATGGGCTAACTTAGCAGCCTTCACAGTGAGTACCCAGCCACCCAGGGCTACAGGGTTAGACTGTCCCCAAAAGCAGGGGAAGGTAACAGACTTGGGGGTGAGGGTGGGGCTTGAGCAGGGAAAGGGGGCAAGGAGCATTTCTCAAGTAGAGCATATTGAATGGAGGAGCAGTTACATGGGGCATGAAATTGAAAATTAGCCACTGAGGGAGGCAATGGGCATTGGATCCAGATTGTCAAGATGAGCAGGGGAAAGTTAGCATCTCTTAGAGCTATAGGACCCTGAGATTCCATCATCAAGGGATTGAGGCTTAGGCTTCAGGCTTCAGGCTTCAGAGAATAACATGGGGGAGGCCAGTAGAGGGTATGCAGACTGCAAGGAGAACCTCCTGGCCCGTCTCCTAGGGCCCCTCCTTTGGGAGGAATCTCACTGACGTGGCAGAATCGTTCGCTGTAGTCTGGCTGCAGACTCTCAGTCAGCCCTTTAGACACACCACTCCAGGCCTAAAGACAGATATCTCCAGGTCAGAGGTCAATGAGGGGCAGGAAGCAAAAGACTCAGGCTCCAGTCAAAGGAGCTCTCACAACTCTGCAACCATTGTGATTACAGAAGGGTTACCAGGCTCCAGGGTGCCTAATACCAGTTTCCATCTGCATCACACAATCTCTTTTGCTCTGTTTCTCTGCCTAGCCCACCCTCCCTTTGGTCAGCCACATCCTGGTAGTGTAAGCCCCCTCCTCCCTCCGCTCAGCCCCCCTCACAGTCTGTCTTGCTAGCTGGCAGTTGGCTGTTGATAGACTGCAATATGTGTATGGCAGTGCTCTTACCGAAAAGTTCCCGTGGTATTCAGTAACCAGATCCTCTAGATTCTTGATGGTGGGAATTCGAGGCATTGCTCTGAAGCAGAGAGAAAGAGGGGAGCAGAAGTATTAAATTAAAGCTCCTTTATTACCCTTCATCCAATTGGCCAGTGTGGAACCTATAGCTTCCTTTCAACGCCCTCATCATAGCTCTTGATGATCTACCACTGGAGATTTTGAAATAACCCTGCCACCCCACCTCATTTTAAGGGCTCCCTGAAATCTCACCGTTCTAGCCAGCAATACACAAAGATCAGGGTAATAATCAGTCCCATGGAGCCAACCGGGATGAGCACAGCTTCCAGTGCAAACACAGAAGGATTCTCTGTAGAAAAAAAAAATGAAAGGAAAATGAACCCTGCATTTGTGGCACTCATAAGACATGGATGCCAGGCACCATGCCAAACACACTCCTTATGCTTACTTTCCATACATCTCATGAGAGGGAGGAACAGTGTTTATCTACATTTTGCAGATGAATAATCCAAGTCAAAGAGGTCAGTCCAGATCCAAGGTCATCTCCACTGTGCAGACTCTATGGAATGTTATAGATACTGCCTACACATTCCATATTCTCCTTGAGCACCCTTTGGCCACCTTGGGGATCCACTCTCCTATTTTGGCTGCACCCCTTCTCATCCTACATAGAAAACCCTGCTTCATAGTGATTGAATTTGAACAGTGGGTGGAGGTAGAGGCTTGGGAATAGAGAGATAAAGCAAATAATGATGGTAGTGTGTTACAAAGGTTGGGGTACTTGGTTCACGATTTAGGGGTCATGTATTTGGACCACTTTACCGTTTGCAGTATGACTCCCCCAGTGAACAGGTTGGCTCCATTTACTCCAGCGTTGAGCACTTCCACAGAGTGGATTAAAGCGGCTCCGAACCCGGAATGTGTACAGTTTCTGTCCATCCACACTAGGCAAGGAAAATCTAGGGTTCTGATCCACTATTTGTTCCTGGGGAGAAGGGTGTGGGGAAAATGGTTATCTTTAAAGGAAGACAGAATGGAAACATTCTTGTGTATAACTCAGTGTCATCTTCTGATTCTTCAAACTTCTGGTTCTTTCCCATTCTGGGAAAAACAAAACAAAAAACTGGTTCTGGTTCCTCCCAGTTCTACTTCTCTCCTTTCCTGGCTACTCACAATGCACTGCTCCCTTCTCTAACTTAACTCAGAAGTGGATCTCCCCTGCAGATCCACTCACTGCCTTGCTTCATGTCTGCATCAGGAAGAGGATGGGTGGGAGAGCCAGAGTGAAAGCTCACTGGAGATGACAGAAAAAGAAATGAGCTGGGCGGTAGTGGCGCACGCCTTTAATCCCAGCACTCGGGAGGCAGAGGCAGGCGGATCTCTGTGAGTTCTAGGCCAGCCTGGTCTACAGAGTGAATTCCAGGACAGCCTCTAAAACAGTACAGAGAAACCCTATCTCAAAGAAAAAGAAAGAAAGGAAAAGAAATGAAAGTATAGACAGAGGAACTTGGAGGCAGAGACCTGGGGCCGGGTATTAGGTCCTTCCATCTGGATAGTTGAATCCTTCTATCTGGCTAGTTGAATCCTTCCATCTGGCTAGTTGAATCCTTTCTCCTCTCTTGCTTGGCATTAGCTACTGCATCCATTCCTCAAGTCACTTACCGTCCAGCTTCGATCTCTGTCGCTCCGGTACTGCACCAAGTGTTGTAAACAGTGTTCTGCATATCTGCTTTTCCAGCTCAGCTCTAGCTGGGATTCACTCAGGTTGTAAAGTGTTAGATTCTCCGGAGCCCAGGGGATCACTGGAGATATGTGTGCGTGTGGTCATTGCCCTGGCCTAGACAAGTCAGGATCTTGGAGGTAATTCCCCTTATTCCTCCTCCCTTCCCCATCCCACGCCCCTATCTTCTCCCTTCTGCCCATGACCAACAGTGAGGAAAGAAAAAGATTTAATGTCCAGTGCCCTCAAGCTCCCTGGCCTCTTGGTCTCTTCTCTCCTGATTACCAAGATTCTGTAGGTTTAGCTTCTGTTCAGCTTGCCTCTGGGGTCTCCGGGGATCCTGGAGTTGAATGACAAATGTCTGGTAGAGCTGGATCTCCTCTTTTTGTATCTGACACCCAGAAGTAATCTCTTCTGAGAACAGATAGTGGCCACACTCCCGGAATTTATTATCAGATCTCTGGTACCTAGAGAAGGATTACAAGGAAGAATGATGGGGCAAATGTGGGTACTGTGTACATCCATAACCTAGCCGCATTTCATCTGAACTGACAACTTATCCCATGAGAAACTAGTAGGGTGCCTGAGAAGCTGGCTACCCTCTTCTTTGATTCCCATGCAGTCTGTCTCAGCTATCCTACCTTCTTTTCTTTCCTGTGCTACCCACTCTCCCTTCTCATACCTGTAGTGCAGAGTCAGGTTGGTGGGCTGGAGCTCAGAACTGCTATTCCAAGTGCAATTCATATACTCGACATTGAACACAAAACATTGAACCTCTGGGAGGGGCAGAGTAGGAACACTGGTGTGTCCATGGAAGAAATCTAAGTTTGAGAACCAAATGAATAGTGGAGTGGAAGAAAAGAAATCTTGGTCAGAAGAAGCAGAGGGAGACAGAGAGCCCTTCCCTGTGCCCGCCCCACTCAACTCTTTCACGGCTTTAAATGGCCACGATCAGGCTCCAGATTTCCTCCATAAAGCCCTTTCCCCATTGCCTTTCTCCTCTCAACAACCCCCTCTGGTCCTAGATTTCCTACCAGCTTTGGTGTCTTCATTCTCACTGGGCATGAGAACCTTGGAGCTGCACCCTACCCCTAGCAGGAGCAGCTGAAGGAGTAAGAAGGATCTAGATGGCAATAAGGGTTTCAACATGGCGCTTGCTCTTCTTTCTCTGGGTGTAGTCTGTGTCAGAACCCTGAACCACTCTCCCACAACCCCTCCCCACCCATACATTTCCTTTTGTCGTAGCTTCCGGTGGAAAGAACCTTAGAAACCACGGCAGTAGAGGGGGGTTGGTAAATGGGTTCAGTGACAAAGACTAAGTCCTCTGGGAGATTGGGTTCTCCTGTAAGGTGATGTTAGGTCAAGATTAATAGATGATCAACAACAGTGTCACAGAGTCAAGAATCTTCAGGTCACCTAAGTTCAGGAAGGATCTACTGAACACCCACCCCCACCACACACCCTCCTCCCAATCACCTTCTCTTCTAAGTTATCTTTTAGAGTGGAGGGTCTGAACACCCCCATCCTGTGTTGTGATCCTTCCTTGACTAAGTCACCCTTAAACCTCTGTCAAAGTTCTGTAGTCTTGGGAGGATGGGAAATAGTGACTTGATTCATGTGAGCACACATATAGCTGTCTTTCCTCTGACCTAATCTAAACTAGAATAGCCACTCCTAGCTGCTGCCGGAGCTTGGTCCCTGTTGACACTGGTGAGAGCTAGCTTCTGAAATGGAAGAACAACAGTACTAGCTTCAGGCTCCCCTGCTCCCTGCAAATCTGCTTCTCTTCCTGTCTTCCTTGTCCTGGTTAATAGTATCATCACCTGCCAGACTTGAAACCTCAGGATCCTCCTCATGTCCCCCTTCTCTCTCATGCTGAGAATCCAATCAGCCTGTTTCTGTGGTATTTCTCCCAGCAGTTTCCTCTTTTCTGTTACCACAGTCACTGTGTTAAATCAGCCTCTCATTACCTTTAGTCATGATTATTCCTGTAACCCACAAACTGGTCCCCTTTCTAAAGAGCCTCTGCTCTCCAGGCCATCCTTCATTCTGTGGCTAGATTTACCTTCCCTCAAAGCACAGGGTTGATTAGAGAAGCCATTTACTGAAATTGTTTATCCAGCCAACATTTATT